AGAGATTTCATTAAAATGAAAGTCTTGAATTACTTGGATTGATGAAATTTAAAGGAATCTGTTTTTAAAAGTGTCCTTTAAATGTACAATTATTTTCTTAAAAATAACTGAATAGCAGTAACCTAGTGCTCTTGTTAGACCAAAAGACAAAGACTACGAGAGTTCATTATAGGTACAGTTTCATCCCTCTGCTAAACTCAAAAGCTTATCTGCTTTTTTCATTAAGCCTCATTAAGACATTATTACTTTTAGATTTTTTTCTAAAAATACAGGTCCTTGCATTTCTCATAAATGGTGCATTACAAAACAGTGACAAATCTTCAAGGGCAGATGTCAAACATGTGCCACGGTATGTATTACTCTTGTGGAACTAGTTGCATGTTTCACATACTTTTGCAGGTCATCTATACTGTGTTCTCTTGAGTTCTAACTTTAGAGTTGACTGAGTTGACCTGAAGACCTGGACAATGTTCTGAGAATTATATATTCTAGCAATACAATTCTAGTGGTGTAGATTTTCTGGAAAACTCTGAATAGGAGAACATAAATCACTGTACTTAAATATCTTATTTGATTGATTGATTGATTGATTGATTGATTGATTGATTGATTGATTGATTTATAGATTTATACCTCGCACCATCTGGCAGCCAGGCCACTCTGGGTGGCTAACAACAACAAGACAAACAACACAATATTAAAACACAATAAGAATAAAATAATACAAACATTCAAGAGATACAATAACTAGCAGGATGAATTAAAACAGATGGCTATAAAGATGTTAGAAAGGATGATGAAAGGATGGCAAAAAGGATGATAAAAGGGAAGCAGAGATATCAGCAAGTTAATGCTCAGGGAAAGCCTGATAGCCACGTTTTTAATGCTCATTTAAACCCATCCAACGAGGGTGCCAGGCATATTTCCATGGGCAGATTGTTCTTTTGCCACTTCATTCTGTTTCATGGATATAATAGCTATGTTGGTGAAGTGAAATAAAAGTGGTTGTACATGGGTCTTCTATCAGTTCTACTTCAGCTTATATAAATTGATTGTATCTGTGCATCTCTAAAAAATGAAGAGTAGTGGCAGGTACTCTGGATTAAATACCATTACTGCATAAAGGTGGGCTACCTTAATCATGTAAGTCTTAACTTGCCTCAAGAGTGGGTCAGATTATGAGAAACCTGTTGTTCAGCTGGATGTATTTCCTTCCTGTAGGTTTGCTAAATAGTTTTGTAGCTGCATTAGTCTCAAAACACTTAATTATTTTGGCCTTAAAGTGTGCTACTTGGTGAATTTGCACTTTAACAATAAAAAAAATCTGATGCATAGAAATTTGAAATGACACCACAGCCTCTTGTGTTATGCTTTCTGGGAAGTATTCACTATGAGACAATCTGAAAAAAGACTGAAAAAGCTGAGTTGTAATCACAACTTTAATTCCAACTTGCATTGAACAAAGTGTTCAGTAAACTTTTAGACTTAACTCTTTAAGCTTCTGTTTTGCTTTGTTTTGCTTTGAGGTTTTTTTTTGGGGGGGGTGCTAACAGTTTGAAACCTTTAAGGCAACTGTGGGCAAAGTGCAGCTCTCCAGATATTTTTGGATGGACTGCAACCACTAGCATTCCCCACCACTGTCTAGAGCTGATGAGCATCATAGTCTAAAAACATCTGGCAAGATGCACTTTGCCCACCCTCGATGTAAAAAGGAGCTAAAATTGTTTTAGTATTAATCTGTAAGGAGGGTGGAGAAAGATCTCAAAAACTACCATGAACTATAGCTAGTCTGAGCTGACTGGAAACTTGGATCGGAGTTTTATGCCCCATCTACACTGGTAACTTGTGGGAGAATAGCCAGTCCATGTAACCTTTTGGAATCTGCACAATCCCAGAGTTCTCCCAGAAGAAGGAAATGATAAATTACTTCTGCGTATTCTACAAGCTGCCTTGGGTTGTTCTCAAGGAGAAAGGTGGAATAAAAGTATTTTATTCTACAGCTGGGATATCTAGAAAGTGTTGCCATAAATTGAAATCAACTTGATGACACATAATTGCATTAAGTTACTGGTGTAAAAGTTGCTTTTTACTGACTTCTTTGCACATACATACCCCAGATGTTGCATTAAGAAAGACTATTTTTTCTTCAAGGAATTTTTGTTGAAGAAATTCTTTGCAAGATTTGGTATTTGTCTCCTATGCTGGCTGTTGCTAAAAACCAGAAAGATGACTAGGGAGGATACTGGGGGTAATTTGGAATATTTTTCTGCTGTAAAACTGGATAATAATCACAAACAGATCATGTAAGAAAAATATCCCAGTAGCTTACCCACAGTGAAAGGAATCCCAAGGGAGCATCACTACATTTGAGGGGTAGAATTATATTTTAATTTCTGAAAAGCTGCTGTTGCTGATGTGTGGTATAAATTAAAGCAACAAGATTTCAACCTGTAGGGGAGAATGAGAACTGATGGAGTAGAAGTGCTTGTGTAATTTGCCTTATGCAGCTATGTACAGCAGTAGGTTTCTGTCATGTGTGACAAGTTACTCATGAGTCATGACTTAAGTTTGGGTCCAATTCTGATTAGTGGAACAAACCCCCAACTGGAAACAATAGTGTGCAGATACTCTGGGCTAGAACTACAAACATTTTGCTGCATTGTGTGCTATGTAAGCACATGTATTTCAGTTTTTTGCATCTGAAACAAAGGGGAGTACATGACTTTTTGGTAGAAAATAAAAATGTTATTTTGGGTATTCTTCCACAATATTAAAGACTAACAACATATTTGTATATTGAGTTAAATATAGCAAAAATCGTATTCAGTTAAATTTTTCCTGTAACAAAATTGCTTCTTTCAGCAATAGAAAGGGGGTGGGAGGGATAAACTACTGTAGATTTTCAGGAGTCAGCAGGGAAACCCAGTGGGATTCATCCATTGCAAACATTTTGGATGTTGTACTTGTATGTGAATGTAATTTTTCTAATGCAGGTATAAGCAGACTCTTTCTACATACAGTATTTGAGCAAATAAAACTTTCTCTTTAAAAGTATTTCATTTATTCTAAAGTTGGCAGTATTTCTTAAGAAATGTTCAGTGTTTCCTAAAATTTTCAATGGCAAATTGAAGAATAGTCCTAAGTGGTGCAGATAACTAATAACTCCTAAGTATCCTATCTTTATAAACAACATGTAGGTTGCATGATAAAATTTCTAGCTCATCTGAGAAGCAATCAAATGCCAGCTGTTGCTTGTGACGTTTGAAAAGACCTAGCTTCATTAAGATTAGAGAAGCTTCTTGAGATAGATACCAGTGCCTCAATAAGAGATGAGTGCTTAATTTCCCATTCTGATAGCTGTTTTATACACAAATACTCTTCTGACACTTTCTTATAATGTAATCTGAATAGCTTCCTTTGTGGGTGTGAAGGGTTGAGTAAACATTAGGCACAGTCACAAATGAATGGGATGATGTCACATAGAAGATTACTTCATTATGATCCTTTTTACCAGTGTTCAGAGCAAAATCTTTTCTGCATTTTCCTTTGTAGGAAAATCTTTCTGCTTATAGTTCAGGTTTTGAAAACTAAAATTAAGCTTTCTCTGAATTTGGAGTAAATTGAATAAATGCCAATTTAGTATCTGGGATATAAAGCCTGGATTACAGACTAAAAGTGGTTCCTTAATTAAAATTTAGCAACACTGCTGTTTTGTAAAACCAGAATATGTAGGGAGAGATGTTTATCATTAACACTGCCCTTCACACACTGGGTGGCAACGTATTTATATCCAGTAGTGGTTCAGATAAATACCTCTTAGAGCTGAAGTATAAGCTTGCTTCTATTCAAATACGTAACATGAAACCAACAAGTACTGTGTTTCCTTGAAAATAAGACAGGGTCTTATATTAATTTGTGCTCCAAAAAAGGCATTAGGGCTTATTTTCAGGGGATGTTTTACTTTTTTCATGTACAACAATCTTTGTTGTTGTTTAGTTGTTAAGTCATGTCCGACTCTTCGTGACCCCATGGACCAGAGCACGCCAGGCCCTCCTGTCTTCCATTGCCTCCCAGCGTTTGGTTAGATTCATGTTGGTAGCTTTGATGACACTGTCCAGCCATCTCGTCCTCTGTCGTCCCCTTCTCCTCTTGCCTTCACACTTTCCCAACATCAGGGTCTTTTCCAGGGAGTCTTCTCATGAGATGGCCAAAGTATTGGAGCCTCAGCTTCAGGTTCTGTCCTTCCAGCGAGCACTCAGGGTTGATTTCCTTCAAAATGGGTAGGTTTGTTCTCTTTGTAGTCCAGGGGACTCTCAAGAGTCTCCTCCAGCGCCACAATTCAAAGCATCAATTCTTCGGCAGTCAGTCTTCTTTATGATCCAGCTCTCACTTCCATACATTGCTACTGGAAAAATTATAGCTTTGACTATGCGGACCTTTGTCGGCAAGGTGAGGTCTCTGCTTTTTAAGATGCTGTCTAAGTTTGTCATCGCTTTCCCCCCAAGAACAACAGTCTAAATTTATTCAAACACAGTAGTGCCATCTTCTTCTGGTTGCTGCAGAATGGTGGACAGCTGGGTTTCACTTAACTGGGGCTTATTTTGGGGGTAGGGCTTATATTACAAGCATCCTGAAAAATCATACTATGTCTTATTTTAAGTTTAGGTCTTATTTTAGGGAAAACAGTGTATATGAAGTGAGATGACTGCTTGTATTTGTGATTTTTGTCCAGATAACAAGTTAGGAATATAATAGTTACAATATACACAAAATTTGAAGAAAGTCTAGTTTTCAGTTATTGAACTACTTAATATATTCTTAAATTCTACTAATTGAAACAGCAGAGGGGACATATAGATTGACTTGTTAAGTCTGTCACTCATTGGACAGAAGAATCCTATGTTTTATTTCACTGAAGCATATTAAGCATGTATATTGAACAAATGTTCCCAACAGAATTTGGAAACAATAAATCTATTGTTTGAAAAATTGTTTCCTAGGGGAAAATTATGTGGATGCAGAAGAAAACGCCATTTTGGATTCTGATGAAGAGGTAATTCCAGAGAAGCCGTGCCCAATACAGATTGTTCTTGCTCATGAAGATGATCATAAGTTTGATCTGGATGAATCAGCATTGGAGAGCATCTTGCTGCAAAAACACATACGAGATCTCAATATAGTAGTTGTGTCTGTTGCTGGTGCATTCCGTAAAGGCAAATCCTTTCTTTTGGACTTTATGCTTAGGTATATGTACAACATGGTAAGTACCTTAAAACACAAGGTTGAAGAAAATTCACAGTAACTACAGTGTAAATATAAAAGTGTTTTCTATTTGGGATTTGTAGTAGTATGCTCCAAAATAATAATAACCTAATAAACAGTACAGTGGTGCCTCGCTTAGCGACATTAATCCGTGCAGGAAAAATGTTGCTAAGCGATTTCATCGCTAAACGGAATTAAAAAGCCCATAGAAACGCATTGAAACGTCATTAATACGTTCCTGTGGGCTTCAAAACTAACATTAAAGCGAAGATCCTCCATAGGGGCGGCCATTTTCGGTGCCTCTAAAGCGAGGACACACAGCGGGCGGCCATTTTGTTTACCCGGTGGCCATTTTGAAACCACCGATCAGCTGGCCGAAAATGGGGGCTTTGCGATGATCGCTTCCCTGCGAATTTTCCCCATAGAGACATTGCTAAGCAATCGCTTTTGTGATCGCTTAAACTCCATTGCTAAGCGATTTCGTCGCTCGACGGAGCGATCGCTAAGCGAGGCACCACTGTACTATTGTTCTGAAAGGCTTTCATGGCTGGAATCCGATGGTTGTTGTAGGTATTTCGCACTGTCTGGCCATGTTATTGAGGTTTTTCTTTCTGACGTTTTGCCAGTCTCTGTGGCCGGCATCTTCAAAGGACTCTGAAGATGCCGGCCACAGAGACTGCGAAAAGTTAGGAAGAGAAACCTCAAGAACTAGGCAAGACAGCCCAAAAAACCTACAACAACCACCAAAGCTAGTGTTATTTCTAGATATTGTTGTGGGCTTTGAGTTAATATTATACCTTATGACTAAACTCTGGAATTAACAGGCATAATAAACCCACTGTAAAATTTGTATAAGTGGACTTTTTGATTTTGAAGGAAAGGAGGCACAGAATACTGTACATGTTTCAGCTGCTACTGGTTTTGTACTATTTGAGGCACTTCTGCTTGTGCAAGTTAATTTTTACTGATTTTCTTTGCTCCACATGTATAACATCCCCATTTTGTCTGTTGTGTCTAAGTTTGCATCAGTATGGGATGTTGCAACAGAGGTTGAAGAAACTGTGTCAGAGTAGATGTTAGTGTGAATCAGCAGATATGTCAACTAGGCATGTTCAATCCTATTTGAATTAAGAAATTTTTTAAAGGTGGTGCTGTCTGTGTCCACACTCAGAGATATCTACAGTTTTTACAAGTTGCTTTGTAACCACGTTTTAAATAATTTACACAGATAGAAATTAAAATGGGTGGCTTTGTATACATGTTATGTTTAAATTCTTAGTTACAGTTTGTCTTGTGAATAGTAAGACAGGAAGGAGTAGAAGTCTTGACAGATAGGTCACCAGGCTGGTACTACCAAAGCTACAGAAATGATATTTCTGCCCCTGAGATTTTGTGGGGAAATGAATATGAATGGAACATGTTTCTTGATCTTCTAGAATGCTTGATCTTACCAGTGTGACAAGATGTATTGTTTGTAATAATGTGACATATGTTTTGTTTCTCATTTGTTTGTTTATTTAATGTTATCCTTTAACTACTAGTGAAATATATTCTGTTATGCAAATTTTTCTGTTGTGAGCTTTTTTTGGGTATGATTTACGTATTGAAGGGCCATACAAATCAACTCATGACAAGCTTGCTTCTTAGTCAGGGGATATCAAATTCTTTAATTTTAAGAAAATGTACGTAATAATGTTTCTTTTTAGAGTTCCTTTTAACAGTACAGAGAGACTAAATATTCCTTCAGTCTGCCTGTGCTTTTTGACCATCTTTCAGGATTACTTCTTCACAATTGGGGCGGCTATTAATGCCATAAATGGCTTGGGGTTGGGGCTTGTGTAACTTGAACACATTTTCCTAGAAGAGTCTCTACAGTTGTCAGAGTATGGCTATTATTTTAGTGCACTCTGTAATGGGTCTAATGCCATACTTAAACAATTCTGACAGGAGTCTTGTTTTTCCCCTGCCTTGCCATAGACTACATAGGCAGATAAGGCAAAGGTGACATGACAAGGCATAGGAGGGAGTGGTTTGCACACTCTTATTCCCTGCAATATCCTGTTTTGCTCTAGGGAAACATTTCAAAAAGGGCGTATAGAATAATCTTATTAGCACTGGGTATGTTGACATGGATTGTGGCTCACTTTTGCATACTCACCGGATCATGGAAAGATGTTTAAGTTGTCTTTCTTAAACATAGTTTATCAGTTTGTATAAATAGGCAGAATAGAAATGTGGAAGATTGAAAATGTTTTTTTTCCAAGAAACCTTTTGATAGTACTAAATTTTTTTTTAAAAAACAGACACAGTATTTTTCCATGTATAAGACACTACTTTTTCCTAAAATAATTACACTAAAAATTGAGGGGTGTCTTTTACACAGAAGTAAGCTGACAACACAGAGAGAACAAAACGGCCCATACCTTGCCTCTGTAAACAGGCTTCTTTCAATCTCGATGCTTAGCAGTCAGGATGCTTAGCTTCCTACAGTCAGGAGACTTCGTTTTCTCTAGCCATGAGCCTTATGGAACTGACATCAGCTGATGCTGAACAAACCAATTGTAACACACCTCATTGGAGGTGGAGCTTGTAGGCTCAGATTTAACAGGGACTTCTAATATCCGAGTGTTCTGAGCCCAGAGGCTGAATACTCAAAGCTAGGTTTTTTTTAATTTTTTGGGTTAGAAAAATGGGGGGCCATCTTATAAACAGAAAAATACAGGAATTATTGTAGGGTTTACATATTTTTCTTATCAGTCAGCACTTAAATATATTGATGTAAGTAGTCTAGAAACTGTTGTCTTATTGAATACATATGTGATTCTTGTTCCAGGACTCATCATCTTGGATAGGTGGAAGCACTGAGCCTTTGACTGGATTTACATGGAGAGGAGGCTGTGAGAGAGAAACAACTGGGATTCAGGTTTGGAGTGAAGTGTTCATAATTCCCAAGCCTGATGGGACAAAGGTAAACTATTAGATGTCCGATCTTTAAAGTAATAAGAAAGAAGTCCTGTCGCCATGACTCAACTTCCAGATAGCCTCACCTGGATGACTGAGAACTTTCACAGATATATTCCTGAGTTCATATCATGAGGCAGTAGGGTAGAATAATTGATACTAGATCCTGGGGCATTTTGTGACAGGCTCAGTCTTTGACATTTCCAAGTGGACATAGGTAATGCTCCTGTCTGAAGCTCTGCAAAGTTGTTGCTAGTTAGCTTACACCAAGTAGGGAAGTATTGGCCATTTTTATATGTTCACACTCTGTGAGCACCACACAAGCCACCAAAAATGAATCTACTTTCAGTTCTGTAAAAAAGATATTTGGGAACGTTAAATGGTGCTGGGGAGGCCTTTGGCCTGTTTAAAAGGTTAATTGCTACTCTTGAATGATTTTAGAAGCAAAAGCAAAAGAACTGCAGTCCATGTTTTTGCAAGGAAAAAAGAGCTGGGAGATGGCTTAGGGCTGCTAATAAGCCCTTAGCCAGCGCATATAGTCACAGGGGTTGCATTTTACCCACCTTGATGTATAGAATACTGCTTCCATGTTTGCTAAACCATAACTTGGCACTTTGTTCAAACTTGAAACTGTTTACATAGATTACTTTGTTCCGAATGTTATCCAATATAATCATGTGTTTTGTGTCAAGAGATTTATTGAGACTATGTCAAGAGGTTTGTTGATCCTCAAGGTGCAGTGGTTAAACTGCAGTAGTGCAGTCAAGACTCTGCTCATGACCTAGGTTTGATCCTGGGCTCAAGTAGGTGGTTTAAGGTTGACTCGGCCTTCTGTCTTTCCAAGGCCAGTAAATTGGGTACTCAGCTTGCAGGGAATGGCAATGTGTAGCCTGTATAATTAAATTGTAAACCCCCCAGAGAATGCTTCAAGCACTGTGGGATGGTATATAAACAGTACATTTTTGCTTTGTTTTTATATTGACAATTTAAATAATCTGGCTTCATAATCCATGAATGGTTCAACTAAACTAATATTTAGCAAAAGTAAGGGGGGAAAGGAAGAAAAGGCAAAATATTGTGGCACTTTACAGACCAATAGATATATGTCAGAGTGACGTTTGATGGGCCAAAATCCACTTCTTCTGACACAGGAATGCAAATACATGTCCCCTGTATTTATTCCAGGGTAGTGAGATTCATGGCCAGGTAGGAAATAAACATAATATGCAAATTAACAGGAATGGAACTGCTAGGCTGTTAGTTAGTAGATCCTAATCAGGGTTATAAACCAGGTAGAATTGGTTGCCACAGAACCTGTGTGACTCTAATATTGAGGCAAGATGTACGTAGTACATAGATGTAATCTATGCCTGCCATTCTGCTGAACTCTGCATATGGAGTGGAACCATGCAATATCTTTGTTGCTTTGTAAGCGTAGCTCTAGATAGCTAGTGCTATTTTCTGTGGTCTTACTCTTAACTGCCTAAGTCTCTGAATGAGTTTTGTTTTTGTTTTTACTGTGGAACTGCTTCACATCATTTTGATTCTTTTAGAAGCTTTAAATCTACTTCTGAACATGTATGGCTTTTTGAAATAACTTCAATAAAAATAAAATTTTACAGTTGTGTAATCACTCAGAAAGATCAAAGGATTGGTGGTATTAAAGAAAATACCTTGCACTCTGAAGTTTTGAGTGCATTGTGGGTTTTTGGCAGTCCTTTTTTTGTGCAGGGTTGGTTTGCAGTTACAAGCGATGGATTTTTTTTTCTGGAGCACCAAAGGAGCAAGCAGGCTCAGTAATGTTGGGAGGGGGTCTCATAGGAAGCTTTTCATTAGCACACTGCACCATCCTGCCAAGTACCCAAACCAGCACAAGCAAGGGTATTGTGGCTAAGTGGTCAGTGGATCCTCCCATTCATTTATCATTCAGCATTACAGTATTCTTTATTATGGTCATAGACCAGCAAGATTATAAGAAACAGAACATACAGAAAAACTCCTATATGTAGTATATGAATTCTTCTTTCAAGGTGATTGCAGCATTTTCTCTCTAGTTCTCACAGCAATCAGTGGGTCCTCTCTATGTTGGCCAGTATTGTAACAAGAGTGTATTTCTCTCCCTACCTATTCAGCTTGCATATAGCATATTTTATATAGAAACTGAATTACAGATGAAGGCAGAGTGAAAATTGATGGAAAAATTTCAATAATTTAAGATATGTGGATGATATCTTCATATATCATGAGATTTTTAATCCAGAGGATCCAAAATGGACACCCCTGTGTAGCACATTAACTTCATGCACATGCATCAACATGTAGCTTTTATGCGATTTCCATGGGTCAGGAAATTATTTGCATCAGGATGAAGAGTGGGGTGGGTTATTTTGTAAATCCTTGTATGTTTCACAGCTACCTGTTTAGGAAGCTCTGGATTATGTTGCGAGCATATGTGTGTAAACCAGTGATTCAGGTATCTTAACAGAAATTGCTAATACAGTAGCTTTACTGTAATATAAACATTTGCCATTAGGTGAAAAGATTACTTATTTACTAATTTTGTCTTTTTTAAAAAAAACCTCTAGGTTGCTGTACTATTGATGGATACCCAAGGTGCCTTTGATAGCCAATCAACTATCAAAGACTGTGCAACTGTATTTGCTCTGAGCACCATGACAAGCTCAGTCCAGGTAAGGCTGACTGTGGCAAGTGGTTGCAGTCTGTAAATATTTTCAGTTGGCTATTCAGATGCCTGCAAACTGAATAGGATGAAGAATGTGCAGTGTTACTTGCACAGTGTGTATTACGAAGCTGAACTATTGTACTGTTTTTTTCCCCTACTTCCAGGCACCGCAGTTAAGAGTAGCTATCATATGTAATACTCATATGAAGTGTGATTTTAAAAACTAGTGCCAGTGTGGTGTAGAGGTTGGTGATTTAGATTAAGTATGGAAGAGTCCTTGTTCAAATCTACATTCCCAAATTGCTAGCTGTCACCTTAACCTGCCTTAAAGTATTGTGAGGGTAAAATACAGAGGTGTCATGAAGTAGGATAAACTGTCCTTAGAGACAGGCTTACAATATGCAGTATTCTGAATCTGTGCTTAGTAACATTTAATAAGGCTAAACTCTGTAGTACCATGGATAGAGACATGAATTCATAGAATCCTAGAATTACAGAGTTGAAAGGGTCCTGTAAGGACATTGAGTCTGACCCCCTGCTCGGTGCAGGAATCCAGATTAAAATATATCTGATGGATGACTATCTAATTTTCTCTTGAAAGTCTCCAGTGCTGGAACGCTCACCACCTCCCAAGGTACAGTAATGCCTCGCAAGACGAAAATAATTTGTTCTGCGAGTTGTTTTGTATTGCGAAAATTTTGTCTTGCGAAGCACGATTTCCCATAGGAATGCATTGAAATTTAATTAATGTGTTCATGTTCGTCTTGCGAAGCACGGCCATAGAAAAATTTGTCTTGCGAGTCACAAAAATATATATCACCAAAAGCTTTTGTCTTGCAAGTTCTTCATTGTGCGAGGCATTTGTCTTGCGAGGCATCACTGTAATTGGTTCCATTGCCATATAGTGCTCATTTTTTCCTGAATTAATATCACAGGTTTAAATGCAATATTATATGGCAATGTGAGTTTCTCTTTCCTTCATCTTCTTTAGCCAACTGCACAACCCTCACATATAGTTCATAGTTACCTCTACCCTGCCATACCAGTTTTGGGGGAAACATGGAGGCAAGAGCGGAAATTATATTTATATTATTATATTATATTTGGCTCATACAGGGAACTACAAGTTTTTGGGCCCAAGAATCTGCTTTGTCATATATATGGAATGTTATTTTGAGTTGGCACATACAGTATACACACACATACACACACGTTACATAACTTTAATGTTGACAATGAAGAAATTAAAATAGTTGAATATTTTGTTGTACTTTCGCTGTATTGTCAATCCAGACAGAAATTGCAGCCAGTAAATCAAAAGAAGACTGAGACTTGGAAGGGCAGCTATGAAGGCCTATTTATGTACCCAGACAGAAATTGCAGCCAGTAAATCAAAATTTACCAATTTACAGTTGCATTTGTTCTTTCTAGTTACTATCTGTGCTGGAAGGTTTCCTGTTATTTCAGCTTTGCCAAGGCGATGCCTGAATGTCAACTCTTGACTGTAGAAAGCTGTTGTATCAGTTAGTTTTCATGATAATAACATCAGAGAATAATTGAGTAGGAAGGGGCCTATTAGGAATTGGAATCAGTGCAGGAATCTAAATCAAAGTAGATCTGAGAGATGGTTGTCTAGTTTTCTCTTGAATTCTTCCAATATTGGAATGCTCACCACCTCCCAAGGTAATTTCAAAATGTTTGCATTTGAGTATGTACCTGGGGCTGTGATAACAAATTGGTTAGTGTTGATAGTCAACCCAATTTATATGTGATGTAAATGCTGCAAATCTCTCAATGGGACATGGGGTCCTATTTTTGCTGTTTTGCTTTGGTGTAGCTTAAATAGGATAATATGTAATAACTTTAGGCTGAAGGAGGGAGTTGATGGAGTTGATGTGATAATGTTGCTGTTAGTGTTTTCCTTTCACCTGAAGTAGCATTCTGGGGTTCACAAATGTTCTAGCTAGGACAGGGTGACCTAACGAACTATTACAGTTTGGTCAACAATTGAATCAATGCTATCTGGCCTGAAATATTTTGTGATTGGTATTGGTACAAAATCTGTGTTGCAAAAATCTAAACAGGAACTTCTTTGATAGGTATACAATTTATCACAGAACATCCAAGAAGATGATCTTCAGCATTTGCAAGTAAGTCTGTCATGATACCATAATAGCCTTATACTCTGCATAACAGCAGAATATTTTCTTACCCATTGGCAGTCCTGTCCCTAGAACAAGATAATGCTTCCCCTGACAGTCTCTTGCATTACAAGGCATTTTGTTCTGGAAGGTGTGAGAGGTGACTGTGTGGAAAATCTTTGTATGATCCAGAGGACTGTGGTTAAGAGTGGAATGATTGGGGTTAGTGTCCTGATATGAGAGTAAAATTGTGTGTGCATTTCTTTAGACCCTGGTTATTACCCTGACACTTGCTGCTGAGTCTTTTTTTTCTATGGTGTAATGCAGAGTGCCCTTCAGTTTATTATTATACTTTGTCTTTTTCACTAATATTGGTATCAAATGAATTCCAATAAAATCATTAAAAACTATCCAATGAGAATTCAGATTATATTAGCATTTAACCACCTAGAGTGGTCTTTTAGGCCAGTTAGGTGGGGTATGAATCAAATAAATAATAAATAAATAAATAATAAATTGATAAAGGTTTTTATAGTCATGTGGAATTGATTGTAAAGGGTCAGAACCTGCAGAGTGTAATGGCCTTGGAGCTTTAAATGTTCTGTTTGTTTAATAAATCCCTTGCCCCCTTGGCTTAACTGTGGTCTGATTTAAATACCCTTTTAATGACAAGTACTCCATTGAAAGTTGCCGAGAGTTTTGAAACACTATGTAACAATAACACTTGAACATATGAAATTACACATATTTCTACAGCTGTTTGAGGATCTGAACCTAAATATTATTTCTCACATAGTCATGGATCTTGGTATTTAATATGAATTTAGTAAAATAATGTTTTATTAGATACTCGGCACACTCTGCTAATGTTTCTTTCTTTCTTAAGCAGCAATGGTTTCATTGGTTTCCTTAATGTGAAGGCAGAGTTTATTGCTATTAGATCATAAGTAGACATGGGAGCTTCATATTCATATCCAAAGGGGTATGAATACAAAGCTCGGCATCACAGGTTCCATGGCGATCCATTCCCACCCGCCAGAACCAGCCTGGTCCACTCACCAGGATCTTCACAGTGCACATGTCTGTTGGCAGCTACATTGCAGCAATCTCAGTAGTCCTGCCGCCACTTCTCCTCACAGCTGACTATTGAATAACTAATCACAGGATATCTTATAATATGCTTTTGTTGCCAATAGTAGCAAACCAAACCTTTGTGGCTTACTGCTGCTTTCCCTATGTGCTCCAGCATTTTTACACACGTTTTACCCACAAATACATAGTGTCTGACAGTACTAGTACTATGTAAATTGCACCACAAATTCAAATTCTGTACTCCAAATGCTGTGGAAATTTTGCTCAAGTGTGCTGTTCTATGTTTGAGCTTTTCCTGAAAAGAAGTAAAATCATATAGAGAAGTTATTCTTAAATCTATGTTTGGCTTTGTATTTGAGATGTTTGTAGAGCTCTTTTGTAAAATAGCATGGAAACAGTTAAGGTGCCATTTGAGATTCTAGTTGCTTGGATTCAGAGAGTGTAGCCAAAGCCCCAAACAGTTTGAGGACCTTGCTTTTAGTCGAGTAATTATTAGGAATGGAATTTCAGAAGTTTTGGTTTACAAATCCCATAATTTTCCGTTCTGGGAGTTCTACCCGAAAGATAGACATATTACAGACACCTAACCGTGTCTCAGCTGTAAGTCTTTAAGGTTTAGCTAGGCCTACCTCTACCTAGCTGCTAGCTTTGAGTTAGTGCTAAGTCAGGAATTAAGAAGCTTGGGCAGAGCTAGGCCTAGTTAAAATACTAAGCCTTCCAGTGGGGACCTTTTCCTGAGGTGAGCCACAGTTAGATGTCTGTAAGTAAGACTCCCGCAATGGAGAATTATGGAATTTGTAATCCAAAAAATCTGAAAATCCAAACCTTAGTGTTTATTATTTATTTTTTCAAAATATTTAATTGCTTGAGAGTATTTATCAGCTGTGCTTGGATTTGACCAGTTTCAAGAGCTTCTTGGCTTAATCTGGCCTGATTTATTTTTCACTTTCAGAAATTTAAAGGGAAAATTTTTATTTTCTTGACTGCAGTCAGTAGAGTTGCTTAACTTAATAAATGGACTTGAAATCCAGTACTGTTTTTGTTTGGGCATGTATTGCGGTGCTGTTTGTTTTTGTACTCTTTGTATACATTCTTAATAGTTTTGTTCCACAGCTATTCACAGAGTATGGAAGGCTAGCAATGGAAGAAATTTACCAAAAGCCATTTCAGGTAATAACATGGTTATTACTGCTACAATTATTACTATTTTCATGTATGTTTAGCTTAAGCAATAGAAACAGGTAACATTAATTATATCATGGTCCACTTCTGTCCTGTCATGCAAGATAGTTACATATTTCTTAACCTTAGATTTCTGTACTACAGGTGCATTAGAGACTTATTGGTATCCCTAATTCCCTGATGTATTTCATGCTTTTGTGACCAATAGTAGCTATACCACACCTGTGTTTCCCCCAAAATAAAACAGGGTCTTATATTAATGTTTGCTCCAAAAAACACATTAGGACTTATTTTCAGGGGATGCATTTTTTTTTCATGTACAATCTATGTTTGTTCAAATACAGTCATGTCATCTTCTTCTGGTTGCTGCACAATGGTGGAGGGCGCGCTTTCACTTAACTATGGCTTATTTTGGGGGTAGAGCCTATATTACAAGCGTTCTGAAAAATCATACTAGGGCTTATTTTCAGGTTAGGTCTTATTTTCAGGGAAACAGGGTACTTTTTGTTTATAATATTGATTTCATTTCCATCCTGCCTTTCCTTCAGTAGAGGAGGGACCCATGATAGCTTACCACATGATTTATTTTAAAATATGGCTAAAACAAATGTCATAATACTAAAATGATATTAAATACATTATAAGTACCATGCAGTTGAACAAATTATTAGTACAACTGATAAGTTTAAAAGGCCACCAGTTTAAATAGATTTAAAACGTTTTAAACACACAGGACAGACAGTAAAAGTGCACCGTCCTGCACTTAAAAGCTCCTTTTTTTCTAACCCCTTTCATTTGTCATCTGGCTGAAGAGAATTGTTTTTGCTTGCCAGTGAAAGGACAGCAGACAGGCAATCATCCTAATCTTCACTGAAAACGCCCCCTTGTATCTTCACCAGATATGCCTGTAAGGACAGTGGAGTAAGGAGAAAGAACTCACCTGAAGATTTAAAATTAGACAAGCTCACATAAAGGATATGTGGTTAGATATGGAACTTCTGTATTTTCTTTGGCTTCAACACCCATAATTTGCTAAGGATGTGCATAGCCAGAATTGCGGGAACTGCTGCCAAAAATTCAAAGTCCTCAGCGGAATTTTTAGCTTCTCACATGTGAGGAATGGAATGTCCATCAGGAGCCATTATGTTCTTATGAAGAATAAATAATGGCTAAGCTCCATGGGAGCTGCACAGGATTGCTGCTGTTCTCAATGGGGTGGGGGGCATAAGACCCCCTGGGAAGCCCTGGCACATTTTTTTTTGGGGGGGGGGAGACTGGAAACAGTTCTTTACACACCTGATAAGATTTGTTATGCAACTTCCTGATTTGGGCTCTCTTTCTTTCATATTGTGTTGTTTGTGGCCAAAAAACCAGCTGAGAATGGCAGGGTTAGAGGAAGTCCAAAAAATATGAAAGTCCCATGCATAAATGTGGTCCTGCAGATAGTCTGGATCACTTTATCACTTTATACGGGGTTTTAGAGGTCATAACCAACAACTTGAATTGGGCCCAGAAGCCTCCAGGAGGCTCTTATGGGAGTACGGCAACAAGGGAGTTATGTGCTGTGGAAATGCTATAACAGGGAAGTTACAGATTGTCTGTAAACTGAGCTAAAGTATATTAATCTTGTAGAGAAGTGATTGTGTCAGTCTTTCTGTATTTGCAAAATCATACCTAAAAGAAATTCCGTGCTTAAGTCTTGAAGACTAATCAAGAAACAGATGGCAAAATCCGCTTGCGTAAAGTTTTGCTGCAGAAGCCAAATTATATCATTTTCCGGCAAAGAGAATATTTAATTGAAATTAATGGAAAGCTTCTCCCTGTTTCAGCTCTGGGGCTCCATTTTGCCTTGGAGGAGGCTTTGGAAATCTCTCATTGGGAGAGGAGGAGTGTTAATAAACAAAAAATGTTGCTAGATTACCATTGCTGGGATTGGATTTGCCAACAGTGATCTGTTGGCTTTATTATTTTTTATTTTATTTATTTGTTTTTACTATTAAAGTCTTCTGTCCACCTGAGGTTCCCAAAGGTTTCTCCAGGGCAAAAGAGAGCATCAGAACCTGGAATGGGATGATAGGAAGTTTCAATTAATTTAAAATTAAATAGTCCTTTTGTTGGGTGATGGCATAATCTGGCTTTTGTGATGTATCTTTACTCACAAGGAATATGTCCAAAGCAAGTTACCTGCATAATTCTGCAGCTGAGAGAACCTTGTGCTGTGACACTCAGATGCTCCACGTGATTTAGAAATTCTTCCTCTGTTCAGGGCTATTCCTAACATCTCTTTCTGGTGTCAGCTGTATTTCCCCCACTCCTGCCTATGTATTTTTTATTTACCTACTGTCACTTCTCCTCTTCACACTTAACATGGCTCTGCCAGATTCTTTCATACAGTCAACCCTTGACTTACGAATTTAATCCGTTCTGAAAGGACGTTTGTATATCGAAAAATTTGTAAGTTGAAGTACCATTTCCCATTGAAATGCATGGGAACGGAATTAATCCGTTCCACTATTTCAAAAACAAAAAAACAAACTAAAAAACACAACCAAAATAAAAATAAAAAGAGCAAGTCCCACGCTGGGACTGCAAAACATACACACACACACACACAAAATCCCCACAGAAACATAACCCCCTCCAGTCCAAACCCACCCTTCAAAACCCACACAGAAACATTTTTTTAAAAAGGACTTACCAGTCCGAAGCCTGCTGGTGCTCCGCTGCCTCTGCGTGACCGGGGGCGGCCGGCCAGGCTCCCGGCCAGCTCTAGCCTCCTGGCGCTAGATGAGCGCTGCCTCCAACACACACACAAAATCCCCACAGAAACATAACCCCCTCCAGTCCAAACCCACCCTTCAAAACCCACACAGAAACATTTTTTTAAAAAGGACTTACCAGTCCGAAGCCTGCTGGTGCTCCGCTGCCTCTGCGTGACCGGGGGCGGCCGGCCAGGCTCCCGGCCAGCTCTAGCCTCCTGGCGCTAGATGAGCGCTGCCTCCAACCACGGTGGCGGGGGACCCCAGGGAGGTCTCCTATGGTGGTGGGGAAGC